ATGTGTACTACTATTTCATGAGAAACTATTTGTACTATAAGCCTTCACCTGAAGTACAATAAAATAAAATAAAAAAAAAGAGCTATATTGCACTTGTGAGAAATATCTTCCTGATACCACTAATAAAAACTATATGAGTGTTTTAACCCATTTCCAGTTGATGTTACTTTACTTTAATGTCAACAAAGACATAAATCAAACTTTGCTGTGCCCAAAAATCTTCACAGAGAACACCAAAAACCAAGAGCTAAGCCCCTTTGCTTTAATTTTTAGAACAGTTTATACCAAACTAACAAACAACCAAAAATCCAAATGCTTGGCTCAGAATAAGCGACAGGCCAGACCAAACCGTTCTCAAACAAACAACAGCAAAAATTAAGTACCTAGCTGTATGCGGTGCTGGGCTAAATAATTAGGAAAATTACGTGAACAGGTTGATTTTCAGGTTATAACAGACTTTTCTGATGCATAGGAACATGTAAAAAGTTCTTCAAAAACAGGTGGAAAAAGATCTTTTAAATCTTCTGTGGGTCACAGATTGTATCAGTGGAAAAATGCACTCACATGAAAAAAATTCCAAGGGCTTCACAGATACACTGACATTCATCAATATACTCCTGGACAAACCCGGATTTAAAGCATTGAGCAAATCAAAACCACCGGGTGAACAGGACAGCCACACACACTCAAAGCATCATTCCACAGATTACCAATTACTTGAAAAGACAAAAGACCTTTCCAATGAAGTGATCTGACTGATATCCCCTTAACAAGTTACATGCAATCTTAACTAACCTCTGCACCACCAGTAATGAGACAAACTGCTATTACTGTGCCTCCTGATGTGATGCAACAGAAAATAAACATCACCTACACGATATTCCTATCAAAAATGTCTAACCTGAAATTAATCAAGAAGAAAAGACAAAATAAGATTGTGAAACATTCTGTAAGACAACTCGCCTAGCCTTATCAAAAACGTTAAAGTCATTAAAGACCAAAAAAATACATGGGGCCTATTTTAGATTGAAGTGACTGACGAGACACTACAACCAAATGTAATGTGTGATCCTTGGCTGGATCCTGGATTAGGGGGACAAAAAGTTACAAAGGGCTTCTTAGTTCAGTCAAACATATGAGACCAAATGGGCAACTCCTGCCCAAAAGAAAGAAGGGACAGGAAGGGATAGGAAAACTGGATGAATGGACATGGGGAAGATGGGGTGGAAATGGGGAGAGTAGCTGTCACATTGTGGGGACTGCAACCAATGTCACAAAACAATCTGTGTATACATCTCTGAACGAGAAATCTGCACTGTAAACTTTCACTTAAAGCACAATAAAAAAAAATGTTTTTTTAAGTTATAAAGGACAGTTTTTAGAGAATTAGAAAATTTTGAAATAGCAGATTGTATATTAGAATTTTACTGTATAACGTTAGCTTTCTGGAATGTGATATAGTATTGTAGTTATATGTAGATTAATATCTTTGTTCTTACGAGGTACCTGCCGTAGTATTTAGGGACGAAGTATCATCATGTCTGCCACTTACTTTCAAAACATTTAAGAAAGAGACAGAGTGTGTGCACACAAATGTCTCAAAAAACTAAAAACAAAGCATTGAGCAAGGACGACCTCAACACTTCCAAAGGAAATACTTTTCTTTTGAATGCTCATCATTTGAGGTTCAGCTAAATTTTTTAATGAAAATATTGTCAAACAAAAACCTTCTTCTTCTTCAACATGGTAAAGGGCATTTAGAAAAAACCCACAGCTAACATCATACTCAACGGAGAAGATTGAGAGCTTTCCCATTAAGATCAGGAACAAGACAAGCAAGCCCACCCTCAACACTACCATTCAATATTGTACTGGAAATCATAGCCAGAGCAATTAGGCAAGAAAACAACTTAGAAGGTATCCAGATTGGGAAGGAAAAAGTAAAACTATCCGTATTTACAGATGACATGATCCTATATATAGAAAATTCCAAAGAATCCACAAGAAAGCTACTAGAGCTAATAAATGAACTCAGCAAAGTGGCAGGGTACAATGTCAACATACAAAAATCAGTTGAGTTTCTATATGCCAACAACAAGCAACCTGAAAAAGAAATTAAGAAAACAATTTCATTTACAACAGCATCTAAAAGAATAAAATACCTGGGAATAAATTTAACTACAGATGAAAAACTTGGACACTAAAAAACTATAAAACATTGCTGAAAAAAATTAAAGAAAACCTAAATAAACAGAAAAACATTCCATGTTCACGGATTGGGAGGCTTAATATTCTTAGGATGCCAATACTACACAAAGCAATCTGTACATTCAATGCAATCCCTATCAAAATTCCAACAGCTTTTTTTGCAGAAATAGAAAAGCCAATCCTCATATTTATATGAAATTGCAAGGGGTTCCAAATAGCCAAAGCAATCTTGAAAAAGAACAAAGTAGGAGGACTCATACTTCCCAATCTCAAAAAATACAATAAAGCTACAGTAATCAAAATAGTCTGGTACTGCTATGATAACAGGCACATAGACCAATGGAATAGAATTGACAGCCCAGAAATAAACCCATACATTTACAGTCAATTGATTTTTGACAAGGGTGCTAAGTGCATCCAATGGGGAAATAAAAAAAAAAAAAACCCCGCTGCCATCGAGTTGATTCCAACTCATAGCGACCCTATAGGACAGAGTAGAACTGCTCCATATGGTTTCCAAGGAGCGCCTGGTGGATTCAAACTGCCGACCATTTGGTTAGCAGCCATAGCGCTTAACCGCTACGCCACCAGGGTTTCCGGGAAAATAACTGTCTTCAATAAATGGTGCTGGGACAACTGGATATCCACATGCAAGAAAATGAAGTTGGACCCATTACCTCACACTGTACATGAAAATCATCTAAAAATGAACCAAAGACTGAACTGTAACAACTAAAAATAAAACAGAACAAAACATAGGAGTAATGTGTCAAGACCTAGTTTTCAACAATGGATTTACAGATATGACACCAAGAGCACAAGAAATAAAAGACAAAATAGACAAATGGGATTTCATCAAAATTTAAAACTTTTGAGCATCAACTTTATAAGCAAAGTGAAAAAACAACCTACAGATTGGGAGAAAATATTTAGGAACCACATGTCTGATAAGGGTTTAATAGCCAGAATATACAAAGAACTCCTACAACTCAGCAACAAAGGAGAAACAATCCAATTAAAAAATTGGCAAAGGACTTAATAGATATTTCATCAAAGAAGATATACAAATAGCCAATAAGCACATGAAAAGATGCTCAATGCCACTAGTCATTAGGGAAATGCAAATAAAACCACAATGAGATACCACTTCACCCCTACTAAACCAGCTGCCACAGAGTTGATTCCAACTCATGGCAACCCCATGCGTGTCAGGGCAGAACTGTGCTCCATATGGTTTTCAATGGCTAGTCTTTGGAAGCAGATCATCCTTCTTCCTGGGTAGACTGAAACTGTCAACCTTTCAGTTAGCAGCTGAATGTGTTAGCCATTTGTGCCACTGAAGTGGCTATTATCAGAAAAATGGAAAATAACAAGTGTTAGTGAGGATGTGGAGAAATTGGAACCCTCATCTACTGTTGATGGGGTTGTAAAATGGTGTAGCCACTGTGGAAAACAGTTTCCCGGTACCTCAGAAAATTAACAGAAATACCTTATGGCCCAGCATACATACCAAAGGAACTGAAAGCAGGAATGCAGATACTTATACACCAACATTCACTGCAGCACTATTCACAATAGCTAAAAGGTGGAAACACCTTTAGTTAAAAAATTTTTTATTATGGTGAAATGTGTAATAAAACATTTCAACCAGTTTTACATGTATAATTCAGTGGCATTAATTACATTCACCTCAAGATATAAGTTATCTTAGTAATCTCAGAAGATGGCTCACATTAGGAGTATGGAGTCCATATGAAGAGGGGTAGCATGAATAAAGATAACAAAAATAAACTTTTCTGAACTTTCAGATTTATTTAAAAATAAAAATAAATCTGAAACAATTAAAAAAAAAACCTGAATTCTCCAAGTATTATCCCTTAATTCCAGTTATGCTATTTGGGGTATAGATTTTTGTAAACAAACAAAGTTTAACTAAAAAACTTTTTTCTCCTTGACCTAGTTTTATATGAAAAAAGCAGTAAGAATAGACAATTCCTAAAAACCTGTCAGACATGCTAAGAAAGTTTCACTGTTTTCATAAGACAGCCTTTTCTTCTTTCCCCTACCCTAGGTTTATTCTGGATTTAAAATCACTATGTAGCTATGGATATTAATCTATGATAAAGCTTGCTGTGTTGAACTGCCCAAAGGGACAAAATTGCTACCCAGTACATCAGAGAGGGAACACACAGTTCCTTCTGTTACGGACATGCCAGATAAGCATGTACTCTCCAAAATGCTAGTCAGTAAACACCTGAGACATAACAGAAAAATGAGAAAACACCTAATATTTCACCAACGGTGTACTGAAAACTTCTGTTAATGTAACTAAATTGCCAGATTCCCTCCAAATGAGAAGTTATTTTAAAGCCTTACCCACTAATTGTCCATGTATATTACTTACTGTGTTGTTCTCTCTGTTACAGATATCTTGCATCAGATTATCCCACTAACAGGAGAGTTTTCAGAAAGAAGAGAAAAAAGAATATAGGAGCTGGCTGCTTTGTCTGAAGCACAAAAAGTCAAAGCAGCATTCTTTCTAAGCACCACGGATGTCTGGGCCACACAGGCTTTCAGCTTCCTATAACTAAAGCACGAAAGAAAGAAAGCACAAAGAAGGAAGTACGCCTAGGGCACGTAACAGAACACAATACAAACTGAGCTTAATTTTTAAAATCTCCATGTAAGAATGGACTGGAAAGCCCTCCTTTACTTTCAACCCCAGGCCCCCCTCAAACTTCCAAATATAATAACAGGAGTAGTTCTCTATTTTTAGATAAGATATACATTTTTAAAACGATGAATATGTGCAGAAACACAATAAATACAGGCTATTTAACCATTGCCTTCGAGCAGATTCCAACTCATAGCGACCCTACAGGACAGGGTAGAACTGCCCCATAGGATTTCCAAGGCTGTAATCTTTACGGAAGCAGATTGCCACATCTTTCTCCCCAAGGAGCAGCTGGTGGGTTAAAACCCCGACCTTTCGGTTAGCAGCTGAGCACTTAACCAATGCACCACCAGGGCTCCTTAATATAAACTATGTATCCATACAAAACTGCATATTTTATTTATTCACCTACTTTCCCGAAGGTAATTTCCTTCCTCCACACTGGGGTGAGGAATGGGGAGATGAAGAAAAATACTCCTATACACACTCATACACTTATTTTTCTCCTTTAAAAAAGAAATCAGTGGCAAAAACAGACAGAATTATATTAACAGACGAGTTAGCCAGTCTTAACTCTTTCTTTTTTTCCTCCTTAATCCTCCTACTACCTTCCCCTTAACCGAGTACGCCTTTCACATTTCCAGCGCACTCCCGAAATTCTGAGTCAAGCCTCCGACAGTGATTGCTGACTGCCGAGTTAGTTCTCCATGGACCAAAGGCTCTTAGATGTCTCGACATGAAGACAGGAGAGGAAAGGAAAATCCTAAATGGAACAGTAGCCTTTTAGCTACAAAGTATTTCCTCCTTTATCGTATCTCTTAGATACACACAATGTTTGGGTAAACTCGTTTTTCTTCTCAGTACAAGTAATTATTGAAGAAAGCAAAGTCAATACACCAAATTAAAATAAGCTTCGTCTCTCACTGCTTACTTGGTTGAGTTGTTGTTGTTGTTAGTTGCCATTGAGTCGATTCTGACTCATGGCGACCCCATGTGTTGGGTGAGTTACTATTCTCAAATAAGTAGGAGGCAAACAGTTATATAAAGATTAAAAAAAAGAAATCTAAAAAATATAAGCAGTATTCAAATATTAATATTAGACAATAAAGAATGAACTCAAATACAGTATTTTTCCCCTTAACATGATTTTACCCTACTTGGCCTCAAGAAGGTTGAAAGGCAGTACTAAGTTATCAACTTTCTCTCTCCAAGATGACACTGAAACAACAAAAAAAATTTTAAATTTATAAGCCTATGAGATGGAGAATAAGGTGTATCCTTGGTGAACCAGAAATTTGGCGGACTTCCTGGAAGTCAGGAAGCAGATGAGGTCAGACCAAAGGAGAGAACAAAGAAGAGCAAATTGCCTTCCAAACACCAACTGTAAGAACAGCTCTTCCCAAAGGAGCCTGGGGTCAGCATCACAGAAAGCAGGAATGAGCCACAGGAAATTAACTGGACAGCCTAGTCAGAGAACAGAGCAGAAGCAGTGTTGGGATTAGTTAGGCCACGCAGGCTTCTTTCTCTCCCTGGTGCACAGGATGGTCACCACCTTTCTACTGAAGTTCACCAAAAGTAAAGAAAATATAACTTCTAAGATGTTTCTTTTTTAAAAACTCATCTATCTTGGATTCATTTTTCATTTTGCTGAACTACCTACCACCTGAAGTAATTTTTTTCATAAGGTACATAAATAAACTGAGTTCATACATACCTGAAAGTCTCTATTTTTGCCCTTACTCTTTTTTTAATTGTTACTGAGACAATTAACATGTCATAAAATGCACGCTTTTAAGTGTACAATTGAATGGTTTTTAGTGGGATAGAATCAAAAGCAAAAATTTGTAAGTGATCGGAGTTCCAGAACAGGGGGAGAAAACAGAAAACACAGAGAGGATCACTGAAGAACTGCTAACAGAAAACTTCCCCAATATCATGAAAGATGAAAAGCTGAACATCCAAGAAGCTCAAAGAACCCCATATAGGATAGAACCAAAAAGAAAATCACCAAGACATAGCATAATCACACTCGCTAAAACCAAAGACGAACAAAGAATCCTGAGAGTAGCTCGAGAAAAACAAAAAGTCACATACAGAGGAGAAATAATAAGACTAAGCTCGGATTATGTGGCAGAATCCATGCAGGCAAGAAGGCAATGGGATGACATATATAAAACCTTGAAAGAAAAAAATTGCCAACCAAGAATAAATATATCCTGCAAAACTCTCATTCAAATATGATGGTGAAATCAGGACATTTCCAGATGAACAGAAATTAAGGGACTATGTAAAAACCAAATGAAACTTACAAGAATTATTAAAGGGAGTCCTTCAATCTGAGAACAAAGTTTTTAGTGTATTCACAGATATGTGCAACCATCACCATGATCAATTTTAGAAGATTTCATCACCTCAAAAAGAAAGCCTGTACCTTTTAGCTACCCTAAACAATCCCTAAAATTTACTTACTGTCTCTTTAAATTTTTGTATTTTAGACATTTCATATAAATAGAATCATACAATATGTGGTCATTTTTGATTGGCTTCATTTAATTAGCATGTTCCATGGTTCATACATGTAGTAGCATGTATCAGTACTTTATTCCTTTTTATGGCCGAATAATATTCTATTGTATGGATAGACCACATTTTGTTTAACCATTCTTCAACTGATAGATATTCAGGTTGTTTCCACCTTCTAGCTATTATGCATAATGCAGCTATAAACACTCATGTACAAGTTTTTGTGTGGACATTAAGTTTTCATTTCTCTTGGATATATACCTAAGAGTGGAATTGCCGGGTCATAGATCACTAACTTGGGTTGATTCATTAGGGTCAGTTTAGTTCTAGATCTGCTGGCAATTTCAAAGACAGGCCAACAAGATAACATATGACATAAAGTCTGTAAACACTTAACAGGTGGAGAATGCATCCTATTCTTTTTTTTTTTTTTAAGGTGAAATTCACGTAACATGAAATCAATCATTTTAAAGTGGCACTATGTACATTCACAATGTTGTACAGCCAACACGTCTATCTGGTTTCAAAACACTTTCATCACCTCCAAAGGAGATGCCATCCTACTCATTTTTGTAGTCCCATCACCTAGTGTAAGTAATTGGTACATAACTGGCGCTCAGTAAATGTTGAAATGAATTGTCATTTTCAAAAACAGTCAATATAAAGATGGTAAAATATCAGACAATATAAGGAATCAGTGCTGAAATACCATTACAAAATCTAAATCTACTCTGAAAATTTTAATCTGGAAAATGATAATGTACTTGAGTTTTCCAGTATAAATATAGAAATAATTTTCTATTCTAATCTGGAAGAGTGGTAATTAAGAAAATCTAAGCATAATTAATCTATTTCTGAAATGCATTATAAGAATATGCCTTTGCATACACAAACACATAGCAGATTTATCATAATTATTTTGGTTTGGCAGTCAAGAACAGGGGTCTACACCTAGCCGTCAATCACTGAGTATATATTAACAATTGGAGAAAGAGAAGGCTCAGAAAGTTGGACTGCAATAGAAGGAAACCTATGGTAAAAGTCTGCTGTATATAATCTATTTTCTATAATATTACATCCTTTATACCATACAGTATTATCTCATTAAAAGCTTCAAAAGTCTAAATTATGAGCTAAAATAAAATAAAAGCACTCTAATATAAATTAGGCAGATTTAAAACTTGGCTTCACTATATTTTTCCCAAGGTCCATTATGTGTCCAAGAGAAAAACTGTACAAGAATGGTATTTTGGGTCTGAGAACAGACCTTTAGATAGAAGGAATAAAAACCCTGGCCACCTTAAATGCTCACCTGAGGAGAGAGAATGGAAAGAATACTGCTCTCAAGCTCATGACCAAAATCTCTAGGAACTGAGTTTTGATAAAGGTGGGTATCTCATCACTGGGGAGACTTAGTGTTTGGGGAGAAGTAGTCTGGGAGGAAATGGAATCTATACAGCAGGAGGAAATAAGGCAAGTCTGTTTTTGATGTGTCCCTACCATCTCTCAAACCCCTCCATCCAGGGTTGGTACCTTCTCCTGTATGGAGATATAGTTACTGACCAGTAAAGTTTGTTGTTAATATGACTTATTCCACCTCCTCAAAGTCAGGGTCTTAAAGGCTTCCAAGGTAACAACTTAATCTCATTAATTAGTCCTAACTGTCAACTAGATGAAGATTTCATCTCCCTAAGTAAACACCCTCAGGAGTGACTCAGATATTCCACGATCCTGGAACCTAATTAAAGGTTACACTGAACCATGCCAGGAGGCCTAGCTTGGAATCTTTGACCCTCACTCAGTTTCACCATCTGTAAATTTCAAGGCGTTAGACTACAATGGCTGGCTTATTCCAAATCTAATAGGATAAACCCCACTTGGTCATGATGTATTTTATCCTTTCTATATATTGTTGGATTTGATTTGCTAAATTTTTGTTAAGAATTTTTGCAACTATGTCCATGAGGGATACTGATGTGTAATTTTCTTTTCTTGCAATGCATTTATCTGGTTTTGGTATCAAGGTAATACCAGTCTCACAGAATGAGTTAAGAAGTATTCCCTCTTCACCAATTTTATGAGGAGTTCATGTAGAATTGGTATTATGCCTTCCTCAAATGTTTGGTAGAATTCATCAGAAAAGCCATTTGGGCCTGAAGTTTTCTTTGCGGGAACATTTTTAACTACAAATTCAACTTCTTCAACGGATATAGAACTGTTCAGGTTATCAATTTCTTCTTGAGTTAACTTTGGTAATTTGTCTTTCAAGGAATTTTCCCATTTCATCTAAGTGTCTAATGTACTGACATAAAGTAATTCATACTATTCTGTTATTAATCTTTTTAATAACTATAGCATCTGTAGCTATGTCATCTCTCTTATTCCTGATATTGGTAACTTGTATCTTTTTATCCTTATCAGTCAGGCTATAGGTTTACCTATTTTACCAGTATTCTCAAAGAACTAGCTTTTTATTTCTTTAGACTTTCTCTTTTTTTTCTGTTTTCTATTTCACTGATTTTAGCTTTCATATTTAATTCATTCCTTCCGCTTACTATTGGTTTAAATTGCTCTTCTTTTTCTAGTTTCTTAAGGTGGAAGCTGAGGACATTGATTTGTGATCTTATTTCTTCTCTAATATAAGCATTTAGTGTTGCAAATTTTCCTCCGAGCACTGCTTTAGCTACACCCCACAGATTTTGATATGAAATGTTTTCACTTCATTCAGTAAAAAAATACTCTCTAAATTCACTTTTTATTTTTCCTTTGACCCATGGGTTTCTTAGAAATGTGTTAGTTTCTAAATATTTAGGGACTTTCCAGATATCTTCCTATTACCGGCTTCTAATTTAACTCCCTTTTGGTCAGGGGATATACTTTGTATTATTTAAAATCATTCTAAGTTTATTAACACTGTTTTATGGCCCAAAATATGATCTTAGTAAATATTCTGTGTGTAATTGAAAAGAAAATGTATATCCTGCTTGTGCTAGGTAGAATGCTATGTAATGTCAATTAGTTTAGTTGGTTTATAGGTTGTTCAAATCTTACAAATCATTACTGATTTTCTGTCTTATACGTCTATCAATTATTCAGAAAGAGGTGCTGAACTCTCCAACTTTAACTGTGAATCTATTTCTCCTTTCAGTTCTATCAGTTTCTGCTTCATGTATTTTGAAGCTCTGTTATCAGAAGCATAAACATTTAGGACTGTCAATTCCACTTGAACTGACCCCTTTATCATTATGAAATGATCCTCTTTATTCTTTGCAATAATAATCTTTGCTCTAAAATCCATTTTATCTGAAATTAATACAGCCATTCCACCTTTCTTCTGATTAATGTTAGCATGGAATAGTCTTTCCCAACCTTTTACTTTTAGCCTATCTGTATATTCTTGTAGACAGCTATAGTTAAGTCTTGCTTTTTAATCCAATATACTAATCTCTGTCTTTTAATTGGGGCATTTAGATCATTTATATTTAATATGATTATTGATATGGTTTGGTGTATATATGGAGTATCTGGGTGGTGT